AAGGAAGGAAGGAAGGAAGGAAGGAAGGAAGGAAGGAAGGAAGGAAGGAAGGAAGGAAGGAAGGAAGGAGACTCTAAACTTCTGCATTTTCCTTTTTTTCTTATTTTAAGTCTGTAAGCAACAGCACAAACATAATATATACCTATTCAAGATGTCACGTACAGCTGCCTGGCATAGGGCTAAGTCAGTGTCTGTTCACTTAAAGTTCATTGAAAATGTAGAGTTTGACCAGAGGTGCTAAACCTTCCCAAGCTTGTGATATTTCTTGTGTGTATCTTGCTACTCCAGCAATTTAGAGAAAATATTTTTAGAGCAGAATTGTGCACTGAGATTGCTCTTAATTACATTCTTAACATATTTTAATGTTCACTTTTTAAAAAAGATAATATACTTTATTTAAGAAAGCTAATAAAAATGAAACAAAGTTCTAGAATTCTATTTCATGTTCAGTAAGATAGTTATTTCTCCTATTGTTTGTTAATGAATTGTTACAGATTTTTTGTTTTGTTTTGTCACTCAGTGTGACTAGAAAAAGATTGATTTTTGTTTTGGCCTCCAGGATTTTGGAAAGGGCAGGCAGTCTCATGGGTTGTTGCTTGAAAATTATTTCATTTCTTTGGCCTGCTGGAAGAAGTGGCTGGCTGTAGCATGTATAAATATTACTGTTACACAGATGGAATACTCTATGGAGAGTTTGGTGTACCATCTACGACTCATCAGAATCTTAGGGCCCTTGGCTTGGAGTGGGAGAAAAAGTATTTTTTTCCAAAGCTGACTAGAACAAAAAAGCTTTTCTCATTGTCTAAATTGGAAATATTACATGTAACATATTGACTTGAGTACAGTATTACAATTTTTGCCTATGTAATTGGGGATGCTGAATGCTGCTTCTGTACATTTGTAGGTTTCATTTGCTCTTTTCATCTCCTTGGCAGTCTGCATAATTTATACCTATTAATGCTGTCTTTTTCCGTAACTGAATAAGGGCTATTTCATCTCCTGCTGTATTTTCATTGCTTTCCTGGAACCATTGTGACATAACTGCATTTCCCTTTATAACGCACCTGTTATTTTTTACATGGCTTTAAAAAAAGAGAGAGAAAAAGCAGTGATAATGTCACCTCAATTAAAATAATAAGGAAAAGCAATGTTATATGTTGCAGCTGACATCTGGAGGTCGGCCACATTACTACGTGTCTTACCGCAGAAATACTTTTGCACTGATGAAACTTCCTAAATATGCTTTGCCAAAGGTAAGTTATCATGGTTCCAATATTCCTATATAATGTTAGATGACAGACCAGAGGAATTGCAACTTGTGGCCAATTTGCTCAGAATTGTTTTAATCAGTGCATGTATCCCTTTATTTTTCAAGAACATGTTAAAGCAGCAAGCAAAATACTCTCTAAGATCAATATTGCAGCTATTCAAGGGCATCAGTTCAAAATGCAGATTGATTTTTTTTCAGTTGGTGGAAATTACTAATTAGTATTTCGTTTTCATCAATAATGACATTTTGAGGCTTTCTATTAAAAAGCTTGGCCTTCTGATGTGCTACTAGCTTCCATATTTCATTGAGTTAAAGGAATTAAATGAGATTTTTTTCTTCAGAAAGTACACTTTTGTATGCCTCTAATTTTGTAAAAACAGAAAATTAGCAATGGAGCCTAAAAGAACACGTATTACATAGCCGTTTAAAGGATCCTAGTAAAATATATCAATCAAGAGGAAGCTTATTTCATTTAAAATTTTTAAAAAGTCTGTGTTACTTTTTATATAAAAGGAAACAAAATCTCAAGGCTTTTCTTTTTTTAAAAAAAACTTGAAGGACAGAAAAAATGATTGTTAAGGACTTTTGTTCCCCATACAAAATGTTTTGATACATTGTAACATGGTCTGGGAACATAGTTTATGAAATTGCTTGTCAGATTCAAGGTCTGAATTTTTTGATATGTTGTGACTTAGGTCCATATTACAGGAAATTAAATGAAACCAAGATGTCCACTCATAATGAGATCAATATTCTTGACTACAACTATTAGGAATATAGGTTTTTAAACTTTCATCTTGAAACTAGATCCTTTTTCCCCTTTCTTAATTAGGTTTTAAAAGTTATGGTTATAAAATTTAAGAACATTTGAACTGAGAGGTTTCAGAAATTAATCACCTTTAAGAGATTATGGGATAGACTGAATTCCTAGGTAGGTCAAATGACATGGGAGGACTTATTCTGTTGAATCACATCATCATGGGACAAGTTTTTATTTGTAAGACATGTTTAAAAAGTCAACAAAGCCTTTTGTAGGCAAATATTGTAATGAATGTGGTAAAGGCCATTTGGAAATGCCACAGTGGAGGTTATGCAGACTATTTTGAATAAGGCAGTTTATAGTGAGATAGTCAAACTTTCCAAAAATTTTAATCTCCATCTATCCATTTCAGTTTTCTGTGAAAATTCAATAAACAATTGAATTATTGAGTTGAAACCCATAATACCTGATTACAATGTGAGAATACTTTTTTTTATCAGTTTTGGACTTCTTGGATTACCTTGCCTTATGAATCACTTTAAATCTAGCCCTTTTTTGTGCATATTGGTAAAACAATAGTCCCAGTAAAACCATAATTCCAACCCCAGATCACAATGCCATATCCCAATTAGTAAAACCATAATCCAGTAGCTGCAATTTTATTTGGTTTTGTTAAGAAATGTTTAAACAACAATAGCAATCATCCATCAGTTTATTTACAATCTTTTCTAATTTAAGGAATTTTATTTCCATGTTGTCTTTATGAGCATGATTCTGGTATCTGCTCAACATAAATTTCTCTGAAGAAATGTATTATATTTCTGTGTGTGTGCGTGTGCATGCACGTTCGCACACACATGGCCTGCTTTTTTTGGAGCAATTGAGTGTTGATCCATTGTCTATTACAAGAATTCCCATCTGAGTCAAACATTTTGAGCTGACGGAGTATGACTGGCTCAAAGTCACCGAGAAAGCTTTTTAGTTAACTGGTTGTCTCCGCTAGACCCAACTGTATCACTCTATCATAAATGAGCTATCACTCATATTTATCTAGTGTAGTATTCTTAACATATTGTGATATAATAAGAAAGATTCCATATAAGATCCATTCTCAGCAGACCATTTACAGTCAGTCACTTACATTCAGCCAATCAATCTCACAGGACTGCTGTTAGAATAAAATAAAAAGTAATAAACATAATCCAAGGTTTTCTCAGAGAAAAGACAAAGTGTGTGTATATATATATATATATATGCACTGTCTAATAACACAAACACTCCAAAACATACTTTTCTGTAAGTAATTTCTATGAATATAATGAACATATTTCAACAAATAAATTTTCTGCAAAAATTAAGCAATTGAAAGACAAATTATATGGATCGCCATTCCTTAATATATAATCGCATGACAGAAGATCATACCTGAGCTTTTCAAAAGCCCATTATGATACCAATTTATGGCATATATCTGTCACATCTCTATTTAAAAGTAGTCCCCTTGTGGTACTATTCCAAGAAAGACAATAATCTGCATGTCTACAGTATCTGTTGTCACAAAACTCACCTGTTGTGGTTCTCTTAAGTGGCACTTTCTAGATTACATAGAAATCATGGAGTGTCTTATCTAGCAGTAGGTTCTGCTGTTTTAATATAATGTTGTGCAACCCATAATCCATGGGGTCATTCTTTCCACATATAATGTAGACTCATGCCATTTCCCTTGTAGGACTCAGTGAAGCATTTCTGCTGACTGTCCTTTTACTTCTTGGCCACTTTGATAGGATGAGTGGAATAAAGGGAGTGGTGGACTACATGGAACACTGTACCATTGCTCCCCATGCTGGTATGTCAAAAATCAAGGGAGCAACTTGGATGAGTGCAAGCAAGGTAGGGCTGGTTACATGGTACCAATGATGGGTGATACCTCTCATTGGTACCATCTAACCAGCCCTACCTTGCTTGCACTCATCCAAGTTGCTCCCTTGTTTTTTCTTCAAAGACCACTGCTGGTAAGAGGTTTTCTGTCAGCTGATTGGGTGCATGGTTAGAAAAAAGCAGGATAAAGGGTGGGAATGTGGTCTTCCCATCTTCCCATGCACCTACTGGTTTTAGGTGGACGTGAAAAATAGCTCTTTGGGATTATATTTACTTAAAATTAAATGATTTACATTATAAGCCAAGGTGGACAGAAAACAAAATCATATATTTTTTTCTGTAGATCTCTTTCCCCCAACCTTCCTTTCAAATGACAATAGATACATTCTAAAATAATGAGTTTAATGATGAAAGGAAATGTTAGATATGTTCTTGCTTTCAAGTTCTTCATAAAACCTTTTCCTAAATACAAAGATAAGTAATTTTGATATTTTTAATATGGTACTTGTTACTTTACCTAATTGGATTGTATTGATTGGCTGGGAGGATTTAGAAATGTTGATCTTGAAAAGGCTGTTGCTTAGAGTATCTGGAATTTAAATTGGCAAAGAATAAAGAAAGTAAAAGGAACCAAAAGGAAGAGCAAAACATTCCCCATGTGTCATAGACAAGGTGGAATAATTTTATGCCTCCTTATGCAGGCCCATAATAACTAAAAATATCTTTCTTCCCTCTTTGTGCATGAGCGTTTATTAGCTAATATAATTCATTATAGAAGTAATTTGAATTAAATATCTTCTAAGCAACTTTTTCCGAAGTAGGATAATGCTTTCTCTAACGAGCCCCAAGGGTCCCTCTCTGTCACCTTGTTCAAGGAGCAGCCGATGTTAAATCCACCTGCAGGGTAATATTTAAGGCAACAAGGTGCTTCATTACAAGCTCACACAACTTCAAAGCATGAGCTTCTAAATCTGTATGCACGGAGACACAGTGAGAAAAGCGTGTTTAGGATGCTATTATCAAAGCAGGTGGCTGCCTTTATTAAAAATGAACAAAGCACAACACAGTCAAAAGGAAATGAAACAAGCACGGCCTTTTATCGGTAGAGAGTCTTTAATCTCTTTCAGCTCAATTACTTTCTCCAAATAAAATCAATGCTGTAAAGGGTTCTTAGTACCATAGCAGCTTATGGGATTTTAGTATAGAATTTTACTACTGAGACAAAGTAACTTTTTCTCTGGATTTCTTGTCTTGATGTTTCTACTGGTTTAGGTAAAAGGAAATAGTAAAATATGATGCTTTTCATGTGGTCATAGTGAAATAATTATTCTAGGCATCAGGCAGCAGCATTTGAAAATGCTGACTTGCAAACCTCATTAAGACTATCATGCATAATAACTCCTGTCAATGGATGTTGGCTATTATCATTCATTTAGTCCATGGATTTGGATTAAGAATGATAAGCATATAAAGAGGTCTATTTGGTGCCAGGTACTTTGGCATTTAGATATGCCTATCACTCTCAAACTATAACAAACATCAAGAAATGTAGCATCTGTATACGTTTAGTTTCAGCTCTTGGTACTGTACAAATAATAAAGTTGTACAGATATAATTCAATAGAAAGATTCAAACACAAAAGTAGTTATGTATACAATACATCACTTAACATTATCTGACAAATATATGATTTTCTATTGAAAATGTTAAATAGATGCAAAATGTTTCATTACAACACTGGCTGTTTTAAGTTTCTGAGATAAAACTTTCTATAAATATTTGGGTTCCAATTCACTGTATTTAGTTTGAAAATAATTTGAAAAAAAAAACTGCACTGAGAAATCAAATATTGGTTCTTATCACAATATTTGGAACTATGTCAAATTTATTCGTATCAATTAACCTAGTTTAGAAGCTTTCTTTCTACCATTAAAGAGCTATTGTTAATTAAGTAAACTCCTAGAATAAATGTATTTATTGCAACATTGTCGGCCATCTTTTTTCCCAAGTCTATTTGGATTGATGCATTTAATCAGAAAGACTAATAATCCCCTGGCTTTACTTATACAATCAGTCATAGCTTGGCTTTATTTCTCCATAGCTTATTGATTAGTCTATGATTCAATGCAAACCAGAGTATAAATTTCATAAGCAGATTAAGAATGTTATGTGAACCAGCCATTTTCCAAGGGAACATAACTAATTGTCTGCAAGTAAAAATAAATAATGATTGTTTTATAGCTTGTATATCAAGATACTTGTCTTTAAGTTGATAACATCAATACAATATTATGTTTTAATTGACTTTTTAAAAAAAATTATATTAGATTGCTTAGACAATAACATTCCAAAATAATTTTACATAGTCATTTCATAACAATAAGGAATAAGGAAGTAGGTTAGCATAAGAGACAGACAGAGACAGAGAGACAGACAGAGACAGAGACACACACACAGAGAGACTGAGAGGGAGAAAACAAGGTACATTTTCTGTAATTATGGAAAGAATCATTTTAATCAAGTTATCAGGGCAACATAAACTAGTATGCTAGGGAAGAAAAGTGAAAAAGGAGAGTTCTTTCTCTAAAAAACAAACTCTCAAAATAACCTACAGTTTCAACAGCTAAATTAATTATATCCTAGATTGCCTTCATTAAATTTTCAAAAAGTTTACATTCCCCATATCAAGTGAGCAAAGGGGAACTTGCAATTTCATGGTGATTCAGAAAGCATAAGACTTTAGTTCTTTTCATATGCCCAATTCAAATGATGCACATAATATTGTACTTTGTTTCCTCTTTAGGAAAGTGCAAAGGTCAGATAAATGTGCTGCATGTTAATGTGAACTGTCCTTCAGTGCTGAGGCTGGGACATTTTCAGGGCTAGCGATACCACATTTTTCCAGGCAGGCTTAAAACAAAGCCATCATGGTTGTTGTCAGGATGGAGGCTGGGGGTTACACCCATTAAATTTGAACCTGCTTTTCTTCCTTTCTTTTTTGCCTTTTATCTCCCTCTCCCAGCCTTCTCTCCTACTTAACTCCTCTATGTCAGTGGGAAACATGTTTCATGGCGTGATTTGCCCAGCAGAAACAACAGACAAATTGCTGAATCTGACAGAAAGAACAAGGGCGTTATTATGTAGTGCACTTGAGTAGCAGTTGTTGTCCATGACAAGTTTGCTGACAGTTCTTTTGCCTAGTAAAATATAGACTGAGAACAAGAAGAAGAATGGTGGAAAGAGTGGCAGATAAACAATGTACAATCACAACTACCAGGAATACTAAGTATTGCTTCTCAAAACTGGTTGAATACACCTAGAAGAGAGAAAGAACTAGGTCATCTATACAGTAGAACCACCAAACTCTGCAACTGTGAAACTGTTTTCTCCTTGCTTTTTCACTATCTTCAAATTGCAAATATAAGATCTTAACAGAGAGGTGGAGCCAATTATAAAACTGTTTAATCCAATTATGATTATAAGAGCTCAACTTCACATCTTGCTAACCACTACACAAAGATGCCCCATTAACATCCCTTCTTCCCCCCAGAGGCAGTTTGGACATATCTTTAGTTGTTTTATCAACAGCTGTCTTTCATCTTTTGATGTTGTTTTGCTAACAATTTAGGACAGACTTAGAATAACTTTATTGTCACTTTAAATGTACATTAATCAGCATACATTAAAATGAAATTTCATTGCATACAGCTCTCAAAGGATCACCATCTCTAATATATACTACATAAACATGACAAAAATATAAGTAAGTAAGTAAGTAAGTAAGTAAGTAAGTAAGTGTATACACACATATATTATATGACACAGAGAAACAACACATTCTAGTTTGGATGTATAAATGTACATGGTAAGAAAAACAAATCTTGTGAGTTTACCAGACAGATGATAGAAGGAACAAAACTGTTACAGAATCAGGTAGTCCTGCTAGCAATACTTTGAAACCTGCTCCCAGAGGGGAGCAACAAAAGCAGACCATAGAGTGTATGTGTGGGGTCTCCAACAATGCTATGAGCTAAAAGCACATAACACTTATAAACAGTAATCCTGAATAACAGGAAGCAAGCTTCCTATAATTTTCTCCACTGTTCTTACCACTCTCTATATGGACTTCCTATCTGAGGCACTGTTGCCACCAAACCAGTGATGCAGTTTATTAAAATAATCTCAATCATGCCTCTATAAAAAATTATAGTGCCTCTTTGATATAGTCAATGATGTGGTCAGGATCTGGCAATTGGTCAGATCTCATTAACCATTTTAGGTTGCTGAGGACATATCTCCCTTCCCAGATCAACAGTTTCCAGGCCCATTCTGCATTTGACAATAGGAGACTCTGATTCCTTCAAAAATCATTGTTCCCCTGTACTGCCTGTAATCATCCAAAGCTGCTCCATGGGATTATGAGATTTCAAGAAGAAAGAAACATCTCTCTTCACTTTTATTATCAGCTCTGACAGATATTCCAAGTATAGCAGGTATTGAAAGGTGGCAAGAGAAGAAGACAGGCAACTGTTTATCGAACATCTCTTTGAGCCCATGAATTAACCATAGAATCAGAATCTTGCAGGTAAAGGTAATCTCCTCTTCACCAGCACCTGTCAGTAAACGGTGCCCCACCCCACCCCAGGAGCTGACAAGCACACCATGAAGCAAGTGAGTTTCCATTTGCTAAATTCCCATCTGGTTACAAATTAGATTCAGCCCAAGTTAACTTCTGAGCACAAACTCAACCAAGTGCAGAACGTACATTGCCTGTGTTCATTAAGGCTTAAGGCTTTCTATTTTAAACAATGCATCCTCAATCTCCCAGCAAAGTAAATACAGGACTGTCACTGAGGTTTTTTTCCGGGGGGTGGGTAGGGGGTGGGTTATTGCATACAGACTCTTGGGTAGTATGATCTATGCCTGATGGTTTTGGCTCATCTTATGACAAAGCCTATTCTCTTTGTCTTTGCAGCAGATTACTGATCATAAAAGTTTGGTAAACTTTACTTCAAATATTCAATCACAGCACAGAGATACACAGTACTGCCTGTCAACATAGCATTGTTGGAGACCCCACACATCCACTTTATGGTCTGTTTTTGTTGCTCACCTCTGGGAGGAGGTTTCAAGGTATTTCTAGCAGGACTACCTGATTCTGTAACAGTTTTGTTCCTTCTATCATCACAGTTTCTGAAATAAAACATAGATATGTGTCTGTCTTGCCTTTCCTCTTTTCGAAAAGATGAAAGAGTACAAATTCACACAAACACAGGCAGGCAAGCTGGCTCGGACTTCACAGAGTTAATTCTTTGGAACTGATAATATTCTTGGCATTCCAACATGTCCTGCCTGCCAAGTCCGAACTGATAGCAAATAAAATTTTATTCACAGAAAATCACAAGGCAGTCCACAAAGAAAATCTGAAGTAAGGTTAAACTTTGTCCCATACAAAGTTTCAGGAGAAAACACACCCACTTTTATCCCCTGTGGGGTGTGGCTCAAAGCTCACTCTCTGACCCTCCCACACCTCCTATGTTTCTGCTCATGTTTCTCCCTATGATGCTGCTTAGGATCGAGCCAACACTCTTCCTCTTTACTCCCTGTCAGGGGCTGCTCTGATATGCCTGCCTCCTGATTAATCTCAGGCTGTTCCTCTCGATTGTCTGATGGAACCTGAGGCATTATCACGGAGGAAAGTCCCGGGGAGGAAGGCATTCCCAGTTGCTCCTCTTCATCTTCCAGGTCCTCTTCCTCTGACAGCATAGGCTCAGAAATCGGGGCCACAACAGATATGTATACACATACATAAATGTAAAAAGCAGGCAGGGACTAATCAAAAATGGAGAATGTAGACTTATATTTTGGGTGATAACAAGATAATGCCATACTGTGAAGTTTTTAAGAACTTTGTTTTAAAAAAAGAATGTTTATGAGTTACAGTAGCATAGGAAATTAAATGAAATGGACTACAATTAAATTCCACAGCTGTGGTGTAAAGCAACATCAAGTTTATGAAGGCGTGAATTTACTCTCAATTTTAAATACAATAGATTGGATTTTTTTTTTTTTTTGAAAATCCCCATCCATAATGCAACAAGAGTCTTAACTGTAAATTTTGACATTTTGTGCAACAAATACACTCATTTTCATTACTGCTATACAATACAATGACTAATATACATGCTCACTTATGTGATTTCATTTCATTATAACTCTGCATATATTAGCAGAACAAAGAATCTGTAAAATATGGATGTGTGTATGCAAGTAAATTGGTTTGGATTTCTGATTAGATTCAATAATGATTGTGAGTTTGGCTTCTAGAGGATTACCCTGCTTGTCCTTGGAACAGTGACAAATGAAATGCCAACCATAATGTCTTTCCGTGCTTTCTCCCTCAGGACATGCATGTTATCAGCACTGATGAGAATCAAGTGTTTGCTGCAGTTCAGGAATGGAACCAGAATGATACATACAACCTTTACATCTCTGATACCCAGGGGATTTACTTTACCCTGGCTTTAGAAAATGTCAAAAGTAGTCGAGACCTAGAAGGCAATGTGATGATAGACCTGTATGAGGTATGTGAAAACAGTATGTATTTTCATCTCATGAAATCATTAGCTAAGGTTGAAGTGTCCCTGATCTGTAACTGGAAATTTAATTGGATGTGTAATGTAATCTCTACAAGGAAAGAATATACAAAATAATATTTCCCCGAAGTTACATTCATCTTTGCAATCAGTATTATATATCAATATTACATATCAGTGCACAATTGTAGTACTGATGTTGATTTGTACATCTGTAGATAACTTTCATCAGCACTCACCTCTACCTTCACCCCTAAGACAGGACAAAAGCACATTCCGATCAATTGCATTTAACTGCTGAATATATAGGCAGCTCTTAAACATTTAGATTTGCATGAAGTGATTCTACACACTTATACATTTCTTCACCTAAAACAAAAATTGAAAATGTTTTCATGTGTTGATGAGTGGTAGGCCAAAAATATACGTGCACAAACTTACAGAGTTGTTTATTCTACCTTGTTACTTAAGTACGCTAATTCTCTCCTTACTTCTGCATGAGGTACTGGCATGGATCTAACTGAGCACGGGTCCCATGTTTCATTGTTCAGACACTCTAGAAATGATCCAGAATTTTTTTGAAGAAAAGTCATACCTGAGTCTACCTACATGCACAATAAAGACTACCATTTTACTTTCCCCACCAACCTAGTATTTGAAAGGATACTTTTGTGAACATTAAAGAAATTTTGGTAGACTGATTGTCTTGACATCCTATTTTGAGCATCTATAAATAGTAAGCACTCTCAGTAAACCTGTAGAAGTCTTAAAGGTCAGTGTTTAAAAGCAGACAAGTGTGGGTGAATAAGCAGGGCATTTCTTGACTACAGTGAAGAAACTTTCTTTCACAACGATATATTAATCCCCTGTGAGCTTTGGCAAGTTGTTGAAAAGCTGTTGTCTTCTATTACCATCAGATTAAGTAGTGGTTCCGCTGCATTATGTAAAGATGTCCTATAGCTCAGAGAGAGGGAGGGAGGGAGAAGAAAGGGAAAGACAGAAAGAAAGCCTTTGTTTTATTAAGCTGATATTCATAGCAGTCTGGATTGAAATTGATGTGATCAGACTAGTCATGTCGCATCTGTTGATTGCCTAGATAGAAGGAATATTGGCTGACATTGAACTTGGCAGAAACCATTTCCTTCACTCTGATTGCTCTGGCCAATTGCTAAGATTGCTATGAATGATGAGCATTTAAGAATAAATGAAGAGAAAGAACAGGAAGAGGAAAAAAATCAGTTGATCAAGTAGAAAAGATAGAAAATAAGTATATGTGTAAGACATATAAATGTCAATATGGGTGGGTTATTTATTTTATTCTTTATATTTTTTCTCTTTGACTCTCTGTTGAATATTTGAATGAATATTCTGATTTATAATGAGCCATTCCTTTTAATTCATTCTACCATTTTCACTAAGAGGCACATTTGGGTAGGGATGCTACTTTTTAATAATACACATACCTGAAAGAGCTATTTGGAGGCATATCTAACAAGTGTGTAAGGATGTTTGTTACAGATGAGGCTAGGTATAGTGGCATTGCTCACTACATATTTGTTTTCCTTGTACTCTGCCCTTGCCCCCACTTAAGTTCTGGTGTTCATCCAGAAGATCTAAAGGAAAACTATACTTGAATCTGCAAAGAAGTAGTGCCATTGTACATGACTCTGCTGTCCATATACTCACTTTAGACATCACTTATATGTGAAGACATCTTTTCTATTTAAAGCATTTTGAGATACTCTACCCAATTATTAACTATTAACAGGGAAAGTTTTTTAAAAAAACAAAAATCAGTTTTTAAATACAGTATAACATTGGAGTGATTTTGTTTTTGTACTAAAATATGCATGGGCTATATTCAAGATTCCCATGTCATAATGTTCTTTGGTCATGATTTTTAGTTATAATTATTGCTTAATCATTTAGTCACTTCCAACACTTTGATGGACAATCACACTCAAGAACTGTCTTTCAGTAAATAAGTTCTTCTCATGCTCATGATATCAGTAATGGTATATAGGCTTCAGAGATCCTGTTGATCTCTTTTTTTAATTGCCATCCATTTTGCGAACTTCAAGACTTTTTCCAAAGTTTTAATATTGCTTCCTCTTTATGTATGCGAAATACTTCACTATCAGTGCTTTCCTTTTTTAATCTGTTATTGAATGATATGTTCCTCTTACTTATCAAAATAAGTAAGGTACTCAAAATAATTTTATCCAGCATGACAGTTAAAAGGCATTAATTTTCTTCATTCAAATTTTTAAATGATACAAATTTTACAGACATTATACAAGCAAGAATACCATTCCATTAATAATCTGTATCTTTCTAGGCAATTATTATTTTGTTTAGATTTGTCACAATCTTTTGCCTAAGTTTCCTTATTTCATGTTCAGTACTTTAAGAGCACCAGCTGCAAGATTTTAAGCAGTTTTGCTTGTATTTTGTCTACTCAGTGAACATTGTTATTGACAATACTTTCTGAGGCACACATAACTTTATTTGCTAAAAGTTACAATTCTACATTGATCACTGTACCTTTGTATAGATCAGTGCTTCAGGGTTTTTTGTTATAGTTTTACCACATATTTGTGACCTTTCTTTCTGGCCTTCAGTAAGCATTCAGTAAACATGTGTATTATATTTTAGCAAATGTGAAATAACTTCTTTATATGGGGCTATTATCTGAAATAAGGGTGCAAATTTAAATTTCCAGATTTCATTACTTTTAACATGGAAAAGTATGTGTATGCTTTTATTACTTACCTACAATCCTAAAAAATAATAATATGCTGCCAAATGCTAATTAAAACTGCTTGGTATCCCATCAAAATTTTAGATCAAGCAGAAATCTTTGTACTGCCTTTCCTAGAATATGTCCTCATTTTCTGTTTCCTTTCACCTTCCTTAAAGCTAGACTTTAATAATTGAAGTTTAAGCACTCGTAATATTTTCTAAAACATACATAGCTGTTGAATAATAATTAAACAACAATGGCTATAAAGAAAAAAAACCTCTTTGAGAGTTTTTAGCCATGTCAAGAAAGCAGTTTAGGTTGTAGTAATCAGAAATTTCCTGCTGAAAGACGGAAGGAGTCTGTCCCACCCAACTTACTTTTTCACTGAAGCAGCAATTTACCCAAAGGCAGAATCTCATGCTGCTGTAAATATTGGGTAAAAAAGCAAAAGATTTATTTGATCTTAAGGGAAACTAGAGATATTGGAGTATTGATTTTAAACACATAAACAAAGTCAACCTTTTCTGATGAATGAAAGTTATTTTTCATTTCTTCTCCTTTATCCTTTCCACTTCTATTCTCAGTGAAATGAATTGTTCTGAAAATTTGTGGACCATTTCTCCTAACCTGTACATTCTTGATTTCCTTTGGAATTATGGAAATGTCACACCAACATAACAGGAAAATATCAGATTGTGAAAGTTTATCATCAGTTGTTTGCTATCATTTCTAATGGGAAAAATTGTGTCATTTGCTTCTTTCCATTGCATTAATTAGAATTACTATATAAGACTTGATGACCGTTTGACAATTCATGATAAAACAAGATATAATAAGAGGCAAAAGTGGCTCTGGATATATTTCCTTATATACAGTGGTGTTAAGGAAGAATCAGACAAATTTATGAAAAAAGAGTTTCCAGAATCTATTAAAATAAATAAAATAATAACTAATGCTGTGCAGAAAGATTCTATTGTTGTTTTTCCTACTAGGTCTTTCAATTTGGTGAAAATTATTTTACAATAAAACATTCAATGTGCACCATCAAACCATAAAAACAAATCTATAAAAACTGGTTAAAAGTAAATTAACATCAAAATGAGGGAAAAAAGTAAAGCTTTTTACTTTCACATTTACAAATTGAGCAAGCAAGCAGTTTAAATATTGAAACTGGATAACCATATAAACATATAAAACTATTTAGGTTTCATTTTTACTTTGAATTGTATTTGGAGCCAATGTAAAAGTTTCCTTGACTATAGACACCAACTGTCAAATAATACCCAGGAGAGCAGAAGAGCCCTCAAGTGAGGAACCTGCTTCTTCTGAAAGAGAATGATCCCCATCTAGATCTAAAATAATAGCAGACATGAAGCCCGTGTTTGCGCTGGCATTGACTTTTCCTTGTATAGCAACTCCAACTATACATCCATTCATAATGGAGTGAAGCCATTGCAAAATAGTGCCATCTCTACTTGCAACCCTCCAAGTGGGCCAGAACAATGCCACTGATAGTATCAAACACCCCTGAAAGATCTAATAGGATAAAGAGAGCTCACCTCTCTCCTTTATGTGTCTGAAAAAGGTGATCTATCAAGTCTGGTTTCTGCCCATTGCCAGGCTTGATCCACAACTAAAAAAGAACAAGATAGGTATGATCTACTCTGCAACTATTGTAATTATACCTTTCAAACTTTTGTATAAGATTGGAATTGGGGTTATATAATAAAGTTAGCAAAAACGGCTTTTCTGGGAAGTGCGCAATATTATCCCCTTCAAAGGAACTGATACTTTCCCTTCTCCCAAAGAGATCCCAAATGCAGACATAAAAATACACACACACACACACACACAGAGAGAGAGAGAGAGAGAGAGAGAGAGAGATACACACACAGATATCCAAGATACCCAAACACAGGTGAGCATGATTTATATGAAGGTGTAGAATTTATATTCAAAAAAACACACACTTTTTTTTACCATCTACAAGCTTAAATAAAACTCAGATGATTGTGACTGCTTTGTCCGAGTCACCTCATCAAAATCTACGCTGGTTTTTTTTTTTTTTTTATGTTCAACCCTGCAATGCCTTCTACTAACCTGTCCGAATCCACAGCAGTTTCCATCTTATTTTTTTTTTCCTAACCTCTGGTAAGTAAGAAATCTTTTGATGCAATTTTTACCTCGGAGCCTGCTACATATTCATTCTGCATGCTGGTTCTAAAGCTAAATTTGACAGGTACCAAATGCACACACAATTTGTGTCAAATTTATCTTGTTTTTCAGCCATGTCAATTTCTCCTAGGTAGCAGGGATAAAGGGAATGTTCTTGGCTAACAAGAAGATTGACAACCAAGTAAAAACTTTCATCACCTACAACAAAGGCCGAGACTGGCATTTGCTGCAGGCCCCGGACACAGATCTGAGAGGGAACCCTGTTCATTGCCTACTAGTAAGTGATGGTTTACGGGCATGAGGGAGGAGAAATCTCTCTTATTATACAGTGACATAGCCTCGTTCCCCACAATTGTTTTTGTTTTTAAAGTAACTTTTTAAAATGTTTGAGATGAAAATGAACTTATTTTTCTTTTCACTGAAAAATGAATGTCTGTTCTCGAACATTGAAAAAGAAACCAGATCATTGCTTCCTACCATAGTAAGTGATGATTTAGGCATGAGGAAAGGGAAAACCCTCTTATTATACAGATTATATATGAAAATGAGGTTATTTTTTCTTCTCGCTGAAAAAGAAATGCATATTTTGAACACTTTTGTCCAACACAGATAGCCCTCATGAGTCAGGGCAATAAGATTGCAAGAAATGAGCCATTTGTCTAAGCAAATGGACTTGCTATATTAATTTTTTGTGGTTAACCATGGAATAGAATGCAGATAGCATTATCAGGATAAATTGTTCCCTTCATAAAATAGTATTATTCATTGGAACCCAGGAACTATGCCTTCTCTGTTATAATTCCTATTCTCTTGGAACAGCATCCCTCCAGAAATCCATTTGGATCCCACCTCAATGACATTCAGAAAATAATGGAAAAATTAGCTGCTTTCTCAGGCTTTAGGGCAGAATTGTGCTTGGGTTTTTTAAGGGTCATAGAATAGAATAGAATAGAATAGAATAGAATAGAATAGAATAGAATAGAATAGAATAGAATAGAATA